TAATCAAAAGCTTACAAAGTATTAAGAAGTTGGTGTTTATTTTTAGGATTAAAAAACATCATCCATTGCTTTTGAATATTTCAGGTATTGAAAGTTATTAGGCCTGTTTTCAATGATTCTTCTAAGCAAGTTACCTTTACTCAAGGGTACTTTTTTGGTTCTGGTAAAGATACTGGTATTTTGCTTTCTGTATATTTAAATCCATCTTTAATTAATCGTTTCCTGCAGTCCAGCTTTATTCTGCTATGGTAATTTCCGTTTTCAGTTTTCGCTGCTACTTTAACACCAAGACATGATTTTCACATGATTTCAATTCTTTGAACGTGGCTCTGCAATACACACATGAAAAAACAATTGGATTATCTTTAATTTTTTTCAACGCTTCTTTCATTTCTTGTATAAATTCGGTGGCGTTTTTCATCAGATTTGCTTTTTTCATCTTCCTAAAGCGGTTTAAGTTCTTTAAGTCAGTGAAGGTTGATAGAGGTGCCGAGTATGCAGGATATCTAAATCGTACCAGAGTATTAACCTCTTTATCCACATGGTATCCTTCTATTTTTTCAATTTCCTATGCTGAGCAAACGGGTAAAATATTTGTTAGTATTGGAGTGTGGGCTGGAAGAATGTAAAAACAAAATGAATTAGTTATGGATGGTTATAATAACTATTATAATGGTAAAAAAATGATTACTTACTCGTGCGAGTATCACCAATCTATCTCTATCACTATCATCACCTTCAATATTTACATTGTTTCCATTGGAATCACCATTGTACGCATAAGTGTCTTGGTTGGTTGCATTGTCACCATTACCTGCATTGTTTCCATTGGAATCACCATTGTCACCATTTATTTCTGCGTTATTTCCATCACTTTGGATAATTCCATTGCCTTCACCATTGTCATCATCTGTCTCTTGATTGTTTTCATTACTTGTAATGTTGTTATCTAGATTAGGTGTCTCGTCAATTATAAACCTTGGTGATCTTGATTGAGCCCTGGTCCTTTTTGTTATTGGAGGGTCTGCGTGGTTGTTAACTGAAAAAAGAAGACACATTCATTAGTTTAGGTAGGGAACAAAATGGCTGAAACTTACCTGAAATCATTAAAATAGCTAGAACATAGATTCAATTAAACATGTTAAAAATATCACGGTTTAATTAACAAATAAACTGTGAATTAATTAATTAATAGTTGAATGAAGACAAAGAAGAATTTAGCGAAGAAAAGTGTAGTGAAAACGTGACCTCAAGTTGCCTAGAAACAGAAAAAATGGCCGCTAGTTGACCTGCATAAGCGGGCAATTCAAGTGAAACAAACCGTTTTCAAATCAATCAGCCGTGAGTTCAATCACCCATGCAATTAATCATGCATGATAGGTGGTGTTAATAGGGGTATTTCGTTTCCGTTCTGGGCAACAGAAGAGTATGAAATGGGACTACTGAGAGAGCTTGCCTTAGATGGTGATCTTTGTTTATTATGCCTTAGGGCATGAACCAATCCTATAGACTCGTATGTTGATTGTAAATGCTTTTTTGCTATGCACAACATATTGGTTGACGTGTCACATATTTTTTCGAAGTTCTTCTAAGCGCTTTCGGTGATACATAAAAGCATCGAAATTTGAAATACGATTTCTATGTATCTACATGTAATATGAAACTCAGTCAGTAAAACTGATAAGGTTGTACGCAAGTCTGCAAGCTCACTTTTTTCTCGCTGAACTGTAGCTTGCTCGATATAACCTCTATTAACTGGAGGTCAATGCTTAGTGATGAATTTGTGTTTGTTAAAAGCAGAAGGTTGGAAATAGATGGAATCGGAGTTGGTGTTTGAATTTGAAAAAGTTGAAGGGTCTAAATAGCTTCTCTGAAGAATGTTTTATCTATAGTGACTGATCAAAAAAAGATTAAGTTGTTAGGTTCCTGGTGCATGCCTTATCAACTACTGCGCTGTTTTGCGATTATAAACCGACTTTCACGTATGCTTGCAAGTCTTTCGCACCAAATTTATCAAGTTCTTTTCTGCACTTTATCATGATAGCTCATGCATCATAATCTGTATGATGCATGAGCTATCATGATAAAGACCAAGTCGAGTTCAGAATGATAATATCATAGATATGCTAATATATTGTGTTTTAGCTGGGATATCGTCTACTTGTGTACTTAAATGTACGTAAATATACACCGTGTTCATTCGCCTATCACACAACTTTTTATTGAATAACTTTAGAATTACGCGCTCAATTTGAAAAATTCCAACAGAGGGCAGCATTATAGCAAAAAGGAATTTGGAAAAAGTCGTTGAAAAAGAATTTCCGTTTCCTTCATTTTTCACTAACTCAACGTCTTTTTTGCTATTTCAAAGTGTTTTTTTGCTATTTTTGATATTATGCCTCGCTACTCAATTGAGGAAAGAGTTTTTCTAGTTTGGAATTACTATGCTGTTGGTAAAAGTCCATCTGAGCTACTCAGAAAATGGTCTAGTGCTTATAAAAACAAGCCAAAACCACAAGCTGCTACCGTAATGGACTTAATAAGAAAATGGGAAGCAACTGGCAGTGTTCAAGACGATACTAAAGGAATGGCTTCAGCTAAAGTTACTCAAAGGACTCCAGAGAAAATTGAACAGGCTAGAGCCATCATGGATGCTGAACCGTCAACCTCAGTACGACAACTCGCTCAACAAGTCGATGTTAGTGTAGGCACAGCTTGGCGAATCAACCGAAAAGATTTGAACATTTTTCCCTATAAAATGCAAGTTGGACAGCCATTGGAACAAGAGTCTTGCGAGAAAAGAGTTGCTTTTGCCAATGAAATTTGCGAAGTTCTTGACACGCCTGATTCACCGATGGATCCTTCTAAGATAATTTTTTCGGATGAGCGCATTTTTGGCTCAATGGTTTTGTAAACCGCCAAAACTATCGCATTTGGGGAAGCCAAAAACCAGAATTGGTGGTATCAAAGCCCCTTCACCCTCAGAAAATTACTGTTTGGTGTGGTTTAACAGCGTCTGGAATTGTTGGCCCTTTTTTTCTTGAGCAAACGATAAACTCTGAGCGCTATAAAGCTTTATTGGAAGAAGAGATTTTACCTGAGCTGCGAGATAAAGACTGGGTTTTTGGTCATTGGTTCCAGCAGGACGGAGCTCCGCCACACTCAACTAACATGATACTGGATCTACTCCGAGAGAACTTCGATATCGTGTCATAGCTAGGAACTTCAGGTCAAGATTTGGTGATGGTTACGAATGGCCTCCTTATAGTCCCGACTTGTCTCCGTTGGATTTTTATCTATGGGGATATGTCAAGGATAACATTTATAGGAACCGCCCAAAATCATTATCTGAGTTGAAATCAGCTATAAAAACTACCATAGAAAGTATTCCAACGGAAATTTTCCCTAAAGTTATCCAACATTTTTGTAAGCGAATTCGCTATGTCATAACCACAGAAGTATCTCACTTTGAAAATATTCTCAACTAATTTCCTTTTTTGATTAAAAAATAAATACCAAATTTCAAATCGATCCATCAACGCATTCAAAAGTTATTCGCAAAGAAAGTTGTGTGGTAGGCGAATGAACACGCGGTAGGTAAGCTATAAAAATGATTTATTTAATGTTATAAAATTGAATATGACAGCAAAATGTTAAGATAGCAAAAAATTTAAACTATTTTTTAGTTGAAAGATCCAACGGCGTGCATTGGCCAACACCTGAACCAACAAGAGTTACAGTGGAAGACGTAACTTTGTCTGGTTGGTTGGACACATAACTCCTCACGATTTCGCCATCATTGTTGCACTTTTTGTAGAATTCGCGCGAGTCTTTATCACGTATACGATAGATCTTTTCGATACTGCAGTGAATGGTGATGATGCAATCAGCATTTAACGATTTCGATGAAGATGTTGGAGTGGGTGAAGCTATGTTCGAAAAACGATTGAAAAAGTAGTTTAAAATTTCATTGAAAAAGTAGCTAAAAATTTTATTTACAATGGTATTTGCAAACTGCTTGACGAATTGAGCAAAATAAAACATCGAAGAGAGCGTTATGATCTGTTTTGGCAACAAAATGAAAGCAATGATGTTAATAAAGTGAAATATTAAACTTTCTTGTTTGCTGACTGAAGATGGTATGTTTAAGATGTGGTTAACACCTTGCCTTTTATAGGAATCTAAAATTAAAGGCATAGTAGTAACTAAGGATCGAGATAGGTAAGGGCGTGGTTTACTGAGTATTAGGTTAAGGGTATCCACACATGTGAAATTACTTTTTTTAGCGAGTCTCGTCATAAATAAACACACTCTTTTATAATTTAAACTAGCTGCTGAAATAACTCTTAGTTTGAAAAACCAAAATGTGAATAAAGGAAAGAGGATGTCATTAGGATTAGTGAAATACGCTGATGTTATTAATTTTAAGTTCCAAAAGAAATTTTAAGCATAATTGCAAACTCAGTTATCATTCAATGCAAATCAATTAACAGAATATTTTACCATGCACAAACGTGGTGATTCTTCATTCATTTCCTACATTCTTCTTTCTTTTTGAAATAAAGTTGACGCCATTGCTCGTGCAATGTGGAATTGATTGAGACATTTGGTCTAAAAAAGCTTATAGAAATGGATTTCGCATGTTTTGAATACAACTCATTATGTGCAACGTGAGGCCGTGTCCAAGCAAGCTTTGAGACTAAATCGGGTATTTTTTATTTTACGTTACCTGGTATAATAACAGCCCAATGCGTTTTTGAACTCAATTTTATCTATAATTTATGGAACCTGGTACAACTTTTGACTGAAATGAATACAGAAGACAGCTGGATGAAGTTAGTCAATGTTCAAGCTCAGGAAGAAGAGAACGAAGAGCGAAGAGTTCGAAGAGAAGACCAGTCTTCTTACAAGATAATGCAAGACCACACAAGGCTGCAGATACCATGGCCAAAGACAACTGAACAAGTTAAACTGGTTTTTGCTGGTTCACCGCCTATTCTCCAGGCATGGCCCGCAGCGACTTCTATTTGTTCGCTAATCTTAGAGGTAAAGCTTGTGCTTCAAAGGACGAACTTAAGTCTCAAATAATAGTTTTTTCGAAAATAAGCCACCAGCGTATGCGGAGGGTATTGCAAAATTACCTATTCGGTGGCAACGCTGTATAATTGCTTATGGCAATCACTTTAAATAAAAATTTTCTAAACTGACTCCTTCATACTTAGGGGTGGGACATTCCCGGATGACCTAATAATTAATTAACTACAGTGAAGGGTTCCGTAAAGCTTTGAAATGTT